CCCCCCCCCCCCGCCAGGGGCTGTGAAATCAGACTTGCCCAGGGGTCAGGTGACTGTCATCTTTGGCTCTTCCCTCTCTGGTGTTGATTTCAAGCAGTTTTTTGTACTTCCTTGTATTTTTGGTAGATTAAATGAGTCAACATTTGCAAAGTTTAAAACAGCCCCTTGTGCACTGTAAATGCTATGTGTTCACTTAAAAAAAATTACTAAAATGGGCCTCTGCCCTTACTCCCCGAACACTGCAGAGACCCTCAAAGAAGACTCATCAAGCATGTGCTCACCATGTGTCCACGTGTCCCTGTGCCCAGGGCAATGGCTTATACACTGAATGGACAGCCAAGTCACAATGAACCTCACGGGAGGGTGGGGGACTAGGGGACCACACTACTAACGCTCCATTAGAGGCTGGGGAGTACTTTCTGAACTGAAAGGAAAATGCACGCATGTGCGTGTGCCCGCATGCGTATGCGTGTATGCGTGTGTGTGTGTGTGTGTGTGTGTGTGCGCGCCCACGCATGGGGAGTGTTGGGCTACCCCTGACCGATGTTTGCCTTTCACCCCAACCTTTCCCCACTTTGCCCCCAGTGGTGGCAACAAACGAAAGTTGAGCACTGGCGTCGCCCTAATTGGAGAGCCTTCAGTCATCTTGCTGGACGAGCCATCCACTGGCATGGACCCCGTGGCCCGGCGCCTGCTCTGGGGCACAGTGGCACAAGCCCGCAAGTCTGGCAAGGCCATTGTTCTCACCACCCACAGGTAGAGCCGGGGTCTCTAGAGGTCGATGGAAGAGCTAGGACAAGAGCTGGCTGGGAGGGGCTAGGTGGACAGAAGACCTGCCAGAAGCTGATTCAGAGTCGATGAGGAAAGTCCCCGGGCTTAACCGTGTGGCCCACCCTCCAAACACGGGAATCGGGAACAGCTCGATCTGGCCGACAACACCGGCCCGCCCGCGTGAGCCTTTGACGTGGGAGGCAGGCATCGGCGCCCCGGCCCCGTGTCAGACCTCTGCCCCTCTCCCCAGCATGGAAGAATGTGAGGCCTTGTGCACCCGGCTGGCCATCATGGTGCAGGGCCAGTTCAAGTGCCTGGGCAGCCCACAGCACCTCAAGAGCAAGTTTGGCAGCGGCTACTCCCTGCGGGCCAAGGTCCGGAGCGAAGGGCGGCAGGAGGCCCTGGAGGAGTTCAAGGCGTTTGTGAACCTGACCTTCCCAGGTGTGTCTCCGTGCCTCCTCCCTGACGAGTCCCGGGCCCGCGACCCCCGGGAGGAGGGCCGTGATTCCAGGGTCCCGGGAGGCTCTCCCCTGGCCCCCACAGCCCGGCCCTCACGGGGACACGGCGTCTCCTTCGTGCAGGCAGCGTCCTGGAGGATGAGCACCAAGGGTTGGTCCATTACCACCTGCCCGGGGAGGACCTCAGCTGGGCCAAGGTGAGCACATACCTGGGCATCAGAGGGAGCAAACCTCGGACGTCACAGGCTTCCTGGGGTGACCTGTTCTCCCTCTTGCATGTAAGTTGCATTCAAAGCTGCTGCAGGTTCTCTCCGTCTCCAGGGCAACATTCACGTGTGTTTCATAGAACATAGGATGTGGGAGCTAGAAGAGACCTCAGAGATCAGCTCCTCCTGCCCCTCCCTTCACAGAGAGGGGAGCAGGGCCCGAGAGGGGATGCCACGTGCCCCGGGCCACAGCAAGCCAGAGATCCAATCAGGGCCTCTGCCTTCTGGCACTGTCCCCAGCCAGGGACCCTTCCCTGAGATCTGAGGCAGCTGGACTCCCTAGGACTCACTTCCGGGGAGGTGCTCTGGGGGTAGCTGAAAAAGCGATGGGCCTTTTGGGGGCCTTATCCCACCCCTAGAGATACTCCCTCTTTCCACCCTCTGTTGCCTCCTCCCCTCCCTTGTGCCCATCAGCCACGGCGGCCTCCCTCCTTCCCACAGGTGTTTGACATTCTGGAGCAAGCCAAGAGGAAATTCATGCTGGATGACTATTCTGTCAACCAAGTCTCCCTGGAGGATATTTTCCTGAGCTTCACCTGCCCTATGCCCCCTACCCAAGAGGGAAAGAAACCAGAGCAAGCAAAGCCAGCTCCACCCCCCTCCCAGCCTCCCTCCCAGCCTCTCTCCCCACTTCCCTCAGAACCTGTCTTGCTGTAATAAAGAGTGTGCAGCCTGCCATGGGCTGCAAGGGGTACAAAGATAGCTTGTACACCCAGTGAGCTCAGTGCGGGGCCGAGGGTTGGGGGTGGCTCTAGACCAGGTTGGGGCCTCTCACCTTGGAGGCCTGGTGGACGGCCCGGGTGCGTTGCCGTGGGAAAAGATCCCCTTGAGTCCCGCCTGAGTGGCCCGAGGCCTCACTGAGACCTGGCTTGTGGAAGCAGCCTCAGGTGACCCCCTGCCATGTCTTCTCAAGGCTCAGTGGCCTGGGGGTGACCACGGTTGTCATGACACTGCACCTTCTGCAGGTAAGAGAAGAGAACAGGTTGAGGAGTTTGCCAACCTAACAATTTTCCTTTATTTCGATACTTGGGTTTGTGCAGCTCCATCTGTACTCCGTCCCGGTCCCTACAAATATTAGGGGTAAGCCCGCATGTGATCCTGCCATCAGCCCATGAAGTGTTACTCGGATGAGTAACCTGGAACTTAGGGTCAACTTTCCAGAGTCAACCTGTAGTAGGCCAAGATTCAGTTCAGGGAGAGGTTCTCAAAGGGGAGGGCTCCTAAGCAGCAGCTTCTAAATCGTTCAGAAACTTGTTAGAAATTCAGATCCTTGAGCCCCACCCCGGACCTGGCAAACCGGAAATCTGTGGGGTGAGCCCCAGCAAGCCGTGTTGTAAGCAGCCCGTGTTCACGAGTGCTGATGCATCTCGCGTGTGAGAACCACAAAGCTAAGGCCTGTGTGCTCCAGGCCACTACGCCCTCCAGCCAAGAGCACGGACACATGTGGCTCCGCCCTTTGTCACCAGGACTCTGCTCTGAGACACGCCCATCTTGTAGCCTCTCTCTCTCCAGCACGGTCACACCTGTCCCTTCTGGAAAGCCCCCTCAGCTCCTCCTTTGCAAGTAGTTCCCTCCCTGCTTTCTCAGCCAGGCCGAGGGGAAAAGTGGGGAAAGTGGTGCGGTCCCCGACCACACTTGCCACACTTCCCACCTCCCATCACCACTCACCCCAAATTACAGCACCGGCACATCCCTGGCTGCCACACCCACTGATTTCTCCATCCTTTCTCCATGTCACTGCTATGTGACGTTTCATGGTATTCCCTGCCCCCCCCCCCATGAAAGCCCCTCCCAGCTCTCCCTCCCCCACGGCCGCCGTGTTTGGTTCTCCTCTGGAGGTTCCTCTTCGTTTCTCACTGAATGGTGGGACCCCCTCAGGCTCTCGGCCTACTTCACTGTGGCTCACTCCCGCCTCTGCACCCGGCCACCCTTGAATTTTTTTTCTCGTTCACCCCCACGTCTTCAACTGCCATCTTATTCCAGCCAGGAACTTCCCTGAGCCCCTGACTTTTCCAGTGAGTTGTCTCACCCTCCCAAGTGGATGTCCAGTGGGAAATGGGCCCTTCTCATCCTCTGCAAGTGGCTCGTTGCTCTGCCGGGCCTCCAGGGCTCTTCCTGCCAAGGCGTAGAATGGGGGCGAGGGCCCACAGTTTGCTGAAAAATAAGAGAACTTTTGGGGCGCTTGGGTGGCTCAGTTGGTTAAGCGGCCGGCTTCGGTTCAGGTCATGATCTCGCGGTCCGTGAGTTCGAGCCGCTCATTGGGCTCTGTGTTGACAGAGCCTGGAGTCTGTTACCCATTCTCTGTCTCCTTCTCTCTGACCCTCCTTCCCCATTCATGCTCTCTGTCTCAAAAAAGTAAAATAAACGTTAAAAAAAATTTTTTTTTTTTTTTAAATGAGAAAACTTTACCTCCTGGTGAATAAAATGATAAAGACATAAAGAACAAGGAGAGGAGACAGCTGAGGGACACGGTTTGGGGCTCCCCAGGGGACTGGGCGGAGTGAGAATGGCTCATCATCCCCTCAAGGTGTCTAGGCTGGAAGGGCACACCTCTGGCCCTGGAGGGGGACCAGCAACAAAGTCACAGTGCAGGGGAACAGGACAACACAATAACAAGGCAGAAAACAGTAACCAAAGAGGTGAGTAAGGATGAGAAATCTGAAGGGGCCACCACCGACTCCTCACGCTTTTGTGCGGAACTTGGGACATTTGGGGAGCCGCGCCAAGCTTAAAGGACTCTCATACCCCGTGTGACCGTTTCCTTCTCTGTCTCCTGCTGCAGACTGGCACCATGGCCCCTGTGTGTGTGTGCCCGGCTGGGTGGTTCAGGGCGGAAAGGGTCGAGGACAGAGGGGAGGTGGCGGCTGACTTGAGGAGAGCTGCTATTCCACCCAGCGCTTCTCCCCGGAGGCTTTATTTGTCGTCGGATGTGGGGGGCTCCTGCCCGGCGCCCCGAAAGAACACAACGCGCCGCAGCCAGTCAAGCCAGCGGGTGGGCGATGCTACTTCGGAAAGGGCTCCCGGGGGGCAGTGAGGACCGGCCGGGGACAGACAGGGACGGTGTCCGGTGCGAGGGACGGGTGAGTCACGATTCGCTGGAAGAAGGGCTCGAACGCGCCAGCCGAGTCCCTGAAAGTGCTGCTTCCCGGTCGCGTCCGCGGCGGCTAGGCGCCGAGCCAGCCGTCTCCTAGCCTGACGCGCGGGAGGGCGGGCGGCGGGGAGCGCGGCCGTGGGGCGAGGTCGGAGGCGCGGCGGGTCCCCACGAGCCTTCCCGGACAGCCCACCGCGCGCCGCGGACGACGCTCGCCGGCGCCCGCGCGACCCGAGCAGCCCGGGACCACGCTCGACGCAGCGACGCCCCCGCCCGCCAAGCGGGCGCCGCTCTCTCTTGGGACTCGCGCTCCGGCCGGGGAGGCGGGGCGGCCGCGCGGGCTCCACCAATCCACGGACGGCGTTCGAATTCGCGTCCCGGCATGGCCAATTGCGATCGCTCGAAGCGGGCGGGGGGCGGGGCAGGAGGCAGGGCCTGGCGGTCCAGCGGCGCGCGCCCCCCCGCCCCGCCGGCCAATGGGAGGACCGGGCGCATTTGAAAACTCAGGCGGGCGGCGGGGCGGGTTTGCGCCTGCGCGGGGCGCGTGGGGCTGACGGCGGCCGGGGGCGCGAGCGGCGGCGGCGGCTACAGCGGCGGTGATGGGGAGCGGCGGCGGTGAGTGTGGGGCGCGGGCGGCGGGGGCGGGGGGGTCGGCGGGCTGACACGGAGCGGAGCGGCTCCAGCCCTTCGGCCCGGCGCGCGAGGCTTCCCGATGGCGCCCGCCCGGCGCGCGGTTTAAATGCCCGGCGCCGCCGCGGGGGCGGGTGGGCTTGGAGTGAACGCCCCGCGCGGGGCTCCGCACCTGTCGGGGGGCGGTGAGCGCGGCCGCCCCTTCGCTAGCTGTTACCGTGGCCGCTAAGCGAGTCCGCGTGCGACCTAGAGTCCCGGGGTCAGGAAGGTGTGGTGGTCACATCCAGGTGCTCGGTGGGCGCCGCTCACCCCGCGGGTGCGTGGGGCCGTCGCAGCCCGTTAATTGCTGGTAGGTGACCCAGGGGCAGGGCCGGGCAGGGTAGGAAGGCCTGCGGAGGGGGTCTTGCAGGGGGGCAGCGGGTAGGAGGCCAGGTGCCTGCCGGTGAGGGACTTCTTCCGTGTAGCCCTGTGTGCAAATAGAAGCAGACGTGGGCAGGGGTCCGAGCGGCTTCCCTGAGCGTGAGATGCGGGAGAACCTCCTCAGCCTTGCTGCCTCTCTTCCCGCTGGCCAAGTTCCATGATTATCTGCTATTCACCATACGTGTTTATTGAATTTTGGAATGAATGGTGACGTCTGACGGAACTCAGCTACCATTATTCCCTTAATGTTGGGGAGTAGGCATGTGGCTGGTTCTTTTTGGGGGGAGGGGGGGACAGTGACTGTCAGCCCGCTCCTTTCCAGCCCATCACCCGGACCATTGTGCCGTTTTTCTTCAGTCATCCACTGCAGGTGTGCCAAGTGTTTCTGTTACCCTACAAAGCGGAGAATAAGGAGGAGACCCCGAAACCTAACCATCCTGAGCCTCCCTGAAGATGTGCTCTTTCATATCCTGAAATGGCTCTCTGTCGGGGACATCCTCGCCGTCCGAGCTGTAAGTTGCAGGATGAAAATAGCGCCAGTCGCAGCTTGCTGGTGTCACTAACCTGCTGGTTATGCCATCAAGGCTCCCTGTTCTTAAATGTTGGGACAAAATTTGGCTACAAAGAAGGGCAGAGGCCACAAGGGTGATGTTGTTAACAGACGCTGTGGTCCCCACTGCAGGCAAGCAGCAAAGTGGAAACATAGCGCAGCAAGTTTCGGTTGTGTTTGCTGCAATGTTTATTTTAACAGTGAGATTTGTGGCAGTGAAATTCTCACCCCTCAAGAAATAAGATAGTATTAAAAAGAGCACAAATATATTCGCGAGGACAAATCTCCCGTCACATGGAGCCCTGAAAGGGTCCCTGCGAGTTAGTTGACGGATGTTGGTGCAGCCTCATCCTGAGCGACTGAAGCAAGGCCATACAGCAAATCTGTGGGAGAACTCCCAACAGGTACCTGTTTTTCGCGCTTCCAAAGCCACCTCCATTGTGGTCGTAATATCCACGGGTGCTGAGTTTTCAATGGCAGTGGGAACTTTAATGCTTGAAATGCTCACCTGTGTTCAGAGCTCCCAGCCGGCCCGCTTCCTGCCTCTGTCCAGGGTGGTATTACGTTTTAATTTTTTTTTTTTTTTAATACCTGTTTATTCTGAAAGAGGGGAGAGAGAGTGTGTGTCTGTACCTGGGGGAGGGGCAGAGAGAGAGAGGGAGAAAGAGAATCCCAAGCAGGCTCCACGCTCAGCGCAGAGCGTATGCAGGGCTCAAGCTCACAACCCTGGGATCACTACCTGAGCCGATAAAAAGATTTGGACACTCAGCCACTCAGGTGACTTATCAGTCTTTTCCTAGAGCCTCTGGTGACTTCTAGGCTCCGGCCATGTTCCCATGAGCCAGGCCCGAGGCAGAGGACAGGCAGAGAAGCACAGAGCAAATGTCCATTTCTCTTTCTCCTGTTAGCATCAGTTTCCCTGACCCTTGCAGACACCCTTACAGGGGTATCACCCCCTCTTTCTCAGTGTTTGTACTCATTCCCCCTTCTAGTCCCACTGTGTCCCCCATTGCTCCTTTACAGCCACAGAGAAACTTGTTTCTTCTACTCGAAGGGGGGACCTTTACCGCCGGGGTGGGGAGGAACACCCCATCTGTCTGTGTCCTGTCCTCAAGAGCTCCAGGAGCCGGGCCTCCGGGAGGACCCCTGATCAGCCCCCCACCCCGCTCGCTCCCCCTGTTTGCAGGTGCATTCTCACCTGAAGAACCTGGTGGACAGCCACGCCAGTGTGTGGGCGTGTGCCAGCTTCCAGGAGCTGTGGCCTTCTCCAAAGAACCTGAAGCTCTTTGAAAGGTATCTTTGCACCCTGAGAACAGCTCAGTTTTCCCCTGTCTTTGGGCCGCCCTGGCGTGCCAGCCTGTGTCCCGGGGCCTGACGTGGGAAGGGTTTCCTTCTTGTTGTCGCCTTTGCCGGCGCCTCACCGCCCCCCTCCCACCCAGGGAGTGACTGAGGACTGTCAGCGTCACCCACCTAGTCACGCACAGCACAGTCATTGGCCATCTGTGCCACCAGCACAGCCTGACTCATTAGTTCCTGTCGTGCTTCTGAAGGGTCTCACTTGGGCTGGGACCAGTCTGCGTGACTCAGCTACAGGTCACCTGCATGTGGCAATTTCACCTAATGCTCTTTTCTTTTTTCTTCAAATCCAAACTGTGTGATTTAACTCGTATTGCATTTTGCTCCCTGGCTGATGCCATCGTCCTGCTGGAGTTGGGCCCCAGAGGGAGGGCAGAGCAGGCATGAGCCCCTTGGCCTGTGGGCCCCGGCGTGCCAGTGACCACACCTGCCACTCAGGCATGCCAGTGGTTCCGGTCAGGCCGCCGGAGACAAAAGCCACATACTGTATGGTTCATCCATTTACGTGTGCCACACGGTGGCTTTTCATACATTCAGAGTTGTGCAGCCATCACCACTAACTTCAGAACGTTCTCGTTACCCCCAAACAAAGTCAAAATGAATAGGGGTGGACGTTAGCGGTGACTCCGTTCTCCCTGCATTCTCCTGCCCCTGGCAACCCCTAATATGCCTTCTTGTGTATGGATTTGTCTGTTGCAGACAGTTCGCGTAAGCAGAGTTGTGCAACATGTGGCCTTCTGTGGCTGACGACTTCTGCTTAGCATGTTTTTAAGGTCCATCCGTGTCACAGCCTGACGTGGATAATTGACATTCAACTGTATTACCTAAAAAGTTCTCAGTTAAAAATCAGGTGTTCTACCTTCAAGTGACGTGGTGGCACATAAGCCGTAAGGAATGAAATCAGGTGACATTTTATGTTTTCAATGGTCTAGGGCTGCCGAAAAGGGAAATTTTGAAGCCGCTGTGAAGCTGGGGATAGCCTACCTCTACAACGAAGGCCGTAAGTCCTCGCGGGGCCGGGGCTGACCTTGCCCCACTTGGCATGGGTATTTCACTCATTTTTTAAGTTTATTTATTGATTTTGAGAGAGAGAGAGCATGGGGGAGGAGCAGAGAGAGAGAGAATCGCAAGCTGACTCCGCACCGTCAGCACAGAGCCCGATGCGGGGCTCAAAGTCACGAACTTCGAGATCATGACCTGAACCCAAGTCAGTCACGTAGCCAGCCGAGCCACCCAGGCGCCCCAGCGTGGATGTTTTAGGATAAGCTTGAGCCCTTCCCAGGGTCAGCATTCCGTCATCACTCTTGCCACGTCTGGCAGTCTGCCTCGCCGTCTCCCCTTGGGAGCTTGTGCCCAGGGGTGCCCTGCTGTGGGGCCCGCTGATCAACTTTGATTCCGTACGCTTTAATTATTTTAACAAACCTTGTTTGAACAAATGCTTTAGTCCCAGTCAACAGAGACTCAGGATGGGGGCTACTCCAGCAAGCCAGCCTCCCTCTAGCGGCCCCCCGCTCCGTCCCATTAACCCACTGCCCGCGGGTAGATGCTGGCTCCTCTGCTCGGCCGCAGGTCCCCCGTGACACTCTGGGGCAGCAAGCAAAGCGTGCCTTACGCTACAAGGCATCAGTGACACATTAGCCCAGGCTCCAGTGGAAGGCAGGTACAAGCAGGTCAGAGCCAGCCTGGTGCCCATCTCCTTCACCCCCATGGAGCAGGTGCTCCGTGGGAGAACCTGTGTGGCCCTCGCCTCTCCCAGTGCCTACCTCTTTGCTTAGCACACAGAACCAGCCTGCGGTCTGTCCAGTCCCCGCTCCCAAAGTGCGTAAACATTTGGCGGCAGCCGCTATTTTTCTGTCTATAAAACGTCTGGCATCTTGCTGAGAGGTAGCCCCTGTTGGGCTGGTTGACGGGGTCGTGACTGATAGAGACAATGGGCAGTCCTCCTCCAGGTCCCAGAGGTGCCCCTGCCCCACCCCCCCTATCCCACAGTGACTCCCAGACCTAACTCACATACCATACACTTCCGCCATCTCAAGTCCAGTCTGGTGGGTTTTGGTGTATTTGCAGAGTTGTGCAGCCATCACCAGCATCCAAATTTGGAACATTACCCCTAAAAGAAACACCATACCCTTTAGCTGAAGTTCAGGCTACTGCTGCCTGCAGGAGAGAGGGTGGGTGGGCATGTGACGCCTCTGTGGGGGCATCTTCCCAGACCTTCAGAACCCAGGCTTCCGGGAGGACCCCAGCCGGGGCAGGTGACCCACAGCGTAGAGAAGAAAAGGCGCGGGGTCCCCGTCTTGTGAGGCTCCGCTCTCCTTATGCACCAGCAGCTGGCGTGAGCTTTTATTTTACTTTTTAATGTTTATTTATTTTTGAGAGAGAGAAGGGGGGAGGGAGTAGGGGAGGGGCAGAGAGAGAGGGAGACACAGAATCTGAAGCAGGCTCCAGGCTCCGAGCTGTCAGCACAGAGCCTGATGTGGGGCTCGAACTGGGCTGAAATCAGACGCTTAACTGGCTGAGCCACCCAGGCGCCCCTGGCGTGAGCATTTAGACTTCCAGAAAAGACCATGGAGAACGCTGTGCACCTGTGCTCCAGAGACACCCCTGGGTTAACACCTTGTCCATCTCCGCAGTTTCTGTGTCTGACGAAGCCCGTGCGGAAGTGAACGGCCTGAAGGCCTCTCGCTTCTTCAGTCTCGCCGAGCAACTGAATGCGGGCAGCACGCCCTTCATCTGGCTCTTCATCCGCCCTCCGTGGTCGGTGTCTGGAAGCTGCTGCAAGGCTGTGGTTCACGAGAGCCTCAGGGCAGAGTGCCAGCTGCAGGGAGTGAGTCCCGGCGAGGAACACGCATGGAGCCCGCATGCCGGGCGGTCCGAGCCGCACAGGGTGAGTGGAGACGCTGGACGGTGTAAAGCCAGACGCCCCGGACAGTGGAGGTGCAGAAAATCGAGAGTGTGGGCATGGGGGCAGGTTGCAGATGAGCCAGCGGGACAGGAAACCTCAGAGCTGGTACTCCCAGGGAGTCACATGGGTAGTTGGGCTAGAAATACAGGACCGAGGCTCCCGGAGGCCCGGAATCAGGGAGTGGTCCCCGGTGTGCTAGGGGTCCAGGCAGGGGCCACGGGAACGTGTAGATCGGGAAGGGTGGCTGGCTGGAAGTTCCTTTTCTGCTGGTGATCACGCTTTTCCCTCCTGTCGTCTCAGACTCACAGAGCATCCATACTGCACTGCCTGGGGAGAGTGCTGAGTCTCTTCGAGGTGAGTCGATTGGTCCGTCCACTTGGACCCTGTGCTGTGTGATGTGTCCCTGGCCCCGGTGAGCACACGGAGCCATGGAGCACGGGCCCGCGCTTCCGTGCTGCTCATCCTTCTGTGGTCGCACACGGCGAGGACCAGCAGGCGAGCGGAAAGCAGGAGAGGCCGTGCGGGTGTGAACCCTGAACCAGCAGCACAGTGGAGCGGGCAGAGCGCCTGAGTGCGCCGTGGGTAGTCCCTCCCACTCTTCCCACTGGCCTCGCTGCACTTGAGGCTTTCTGTTAAAGCGGGGAGGGGCGCTGAGAGTGAGCAAGGACGGGGAGCAGCCCTGAGAAAGCCCCCAGCGTCCCTATCTGGGAGGCCTAGTGTACGGGGCTGACCGGCCGGTGGCCCAGAGCAGAGCTAGGGCTCTGGGGCCCAGCCAGACGCAAATGTCATCTGGGAGGACACAGGGCCTGGGAGGCGGAGCTCGGAAGCTCGCTCTCCCAGTCATTGTCCAAGCGCACGTCTGTAGAGAGGTCGCTTCTACTCCCATTTAATTAACTCGCTTTATTAAGTAAGAGCCACGGAGGTGGTTCCTGAGAGGTGGCGAGTAGGGTGACTCCGCAGAAGGGGTGAGAAGAGAGTGCACCGTGCTTGGGTTTGCTCCAGGATGCAGAGCGGAAGCAGCAGGCCCGGGACCTGTTTGAAGAGTCTGCTCGCCAGGGCTGTCTGGCCAGCTCGTACCTCCTGTGGGAACGTGACAGGAGGACGGACGTGAGTGGCCCCCGGGACGGGGAGGGTGGTGTACCGATGGTGCAGGTTCTGCTGGAACGGGGTCCTTGGGCAACTCCCGGGGCACCAGGAGCCGCGGTCGGCAGGCTGCTCCCATATTTGCTCCCAACGACCACGGTCGCTTGGGGGATGAGGGGCTGGGAAGAACACCGAGCTGTGGACCCCTGGGGGTGTCGGGAGGAACATGTAAGAGCCCCGTGGGTTGGTTCTGAGTTTTCCAGAGACAGCTGTATAAAAACATGGTGACTTTCTCCCGTTGACAGATGTCCGATCCTGGACGATGCCTCCACAGCTTCCGGAAACTCAGGGACTACGCTGCCAAAGGCTGCTGGGAAGCACAGGTGAGGCGGGAGCCCGCCTATCTAACTTCTTCTGCCTCCTCCCGTGGGGACCGGGGGGCCGATACCACCCAGGCTCCCATTTGTAGGCAGGAAGACTGACCCAGGGCCGGCCGCAGGCCTTATGGGAATTTAGCTCTGGGGTGTGCAGGGAGGAGAGCCTGGAAGTGTTTCCTTCATCTCTGCCCAGCACCCCGTCGCCTCCAAGCCCACTGCCCCTAAGCCGGCCGTCCGGCCTCTTCATTCTTAAGTGCGGGTACACTCCGTCTGCTGGTAACATTCCTGTCCCTCCCCAAAGTTGTCCTGGAGGGGGTGCTGTGGCCACAGATGGGGAGTCTTCTGGGAGCAGGTGGGTGTGTGGAACGTTCTCCTGTTCTTGTCGCTTGACCTGGTCACCGAGACATCAGTGTTAGAACCAGCACGTGGGGGATTTGCAGTTGGTGTCCCCCAGATGCCCTCCTGTTGCAGCCGTAAAGAATTGTTGTTGAAGACAAATCAGAGGAAGTCCCCCTTGGCCAAGCAGGTAGAAACTCAGATTGTTGTCACCCCACCAACTAACTGCTGGAGAGCCATCTGCCCTTGAAAGGGAAGATATGATAAAGTGGTAGACGGCCCAGCCTGACGTGTGACAGAGCAGTGTAATGGCTACACCTGAGGCAGTCAGCGAATTCATAGTAAACATGACAATGAGCCATGTGGTTTTCTTAGAAGCTCAAACTAATCAGTAAGAATAGTAGTATTCCAGTAAACGTTCAGAGGGTCTCCATACATTCCCAGAGAAGAGGAAATAGAAATAGCTGGTCAGGGGCACCTGGGGGGCTCAGTCGGTTAAGCATCTGACTTCAGCTCAGGTCATGATCTCATGGTTCATGAATTTGAGCCCCGCGTCGGGCTCTGTGCTAACGATGTGGAGGTGGAGCCTGCGTGGGATTCTCTCTCTCTGTCTCTCTCAAAAAAAAAAAAAAGAAAAGAAAAGAAACGGTCAGAACCCAGGAGTGTTTGACCACACATTCAAACGAGATTGTGGCTGCTCACATTAACGAATGATAGGTGTATAGGTATCTTTTTTTCTGTACATGTTGAGTATATAGCTGTTATCTTCTGAAAATACGCATTTTTAACGGTAGCAGTTTTTGCCGGCAGAGGTGCACTAGAACAACATTATCTTAGCTGGTGTGAAAATCAGTGCAGCCCTTTCAGAGAATACTTGGGCGGGAGAAGCAAGAGACTTTGGCACAGCCGCCCTGTGCAGGCAGGGCAAGCGCGACAATGGCTGCACAGAGATGTTCCACGAAGTAGTGAACACGCGCCAGGAAGACACTGGAAACGTGCTTCCAGGCGTTTATGTCGCAAGGAGCCGTATTATTGTTAGGTGAACAAAGAGATAAAACATACGTGTGCTATGATCTGGAATGCGTGGACACAGTTACAAATGTGTAGGAACATCTGGAAGGAAAGTGTCTAGAAACGGTTGCTAGTTAGTCTCAGGGGCCTAGAGGGTGCCAGCGGGGCCTGTGCACAGCGGTGTCACCATAGCTTCATGAGAAGGGAAACTGAGGCACAGAGCGTTTTTCCCCAGTGTGCCTGCGATGTCACACAGATCCAGGTTTTAAAGCCAGGTCATCTGAAGGGCACATGGCTGGCTCAGTTGGTTAAGCATCCAACTCTTGATTTCGGCTCAGGTCACGATCTCACAGTTGATGAGATGGGGCCCTACGCTGGGCTCTGTGATAACGGTGTGGAGCCTGCTTGGGATCCTCTCTGCCCTTCCCCTGAGTGCGCCTGCACGTGCTCGCTCGCTCTCAAAATAAACTTAAAAAAAACACACACGAAAGCCGGATCACCTGAGCCTCCAACCAGCTTTGGCTGCTTTGCTGTGCTGACTCTGTGGTGCACGTTTCGTCCCCTTTAAGACATGTTATCACGAGATACGCCATTTATTTCGAAAAGAACAGTCAAAACCTGAGGTGCGCTGTTTCCAGGGGGCTGAGGCGTCAGCACCGCTGTGCACCCACAATTCTCCCCCGGCAGCCTGAGGCTTCCTGCTCACACGCCTGTGTGTCCCACAGCTGTCGTTAGCCAAAGCCTGTGCAAACGGGGGCCAGCTCGGACTGGAGGGGAAGGTCGCCGACGGGGTCGCGCGCCGGCTGTTCCAGGCCTCCCGTGCCGTCAGCAAGCAGCAGGTCTTCTCCGTGCAGAAGGGACTCAGCGACACGATGAGGTGAGGCCCTTGAGGGAGGGCGTCTGCTTGGGGTGGGGGCAGAGTGACTGCCGGGCACCCGGATGACGGGCCCGTCGTGTGGTGTGTGTGTGTGTGTG